AACAACGATACTCGACTAGATATCGTTGTCGCCAATGAGTATAGCAATGATGTGAGTATCCTTCTTGGATATGGGAATGGTTCTTTTGCAAAAGAAACAAGATATTCAGTTGGCTCTTATCCATCATCTGTAGCTGTTGGTGATTTTAACAACGACACTCGACCAGATATCGTTGTCGCCAATTCGGGCAGCGCTGATGTGAGTGTCCTTCTTGGAGATGGGAATGGTTCTTTTGTAATTACAACAAACTATGAAGTTGGCTCTTATCCATCATCTGTAGCTGTTGGTGATTTCAACAACGACACTCGACTAGATATTGTTGTCGCTAGTTCGGGTGACAATACTGTGAGTGTCCTTCTTGGAGATGGGAACGGTTTTTTTGCAACAGAAACAAAATATTCAGTTGGCACTACTCCAACTTCTGTAACTGTTGGTGATTTCAACAACGATACTCGACTAGATATCATTGTCGCCAATAGTGTTAGCAATGATGTGAGTGTCATTCTTGGCTATGACTATATAGTTTTTGTAAAGCAAATGATGCTCATGACTGGAGATGGTTCCCAACCAGAGTCGTTAGTGATTAGTGATTTTAATAATGATGCTCTAATGGATATTGGGGTCGTCTATTCAGTTACTCACAGTATTGGTATTTTTCTTGGATGTGGTAATATATCTTTTACAAATCAACTGACATATTCAACTCGTCCATATTTATTTCCATGTTCTGTAGCTGTTGGTGATTTCAACAATGATACTCAAGTAGATATCGTTTTTGGTAGTTGTGACTCGGATAAGATTGGTGTTTTCTTTGGATATGGCAATGGCTCTTTTGGAAATGTGGCGGCGTATTCAACAGGTTCATATTCGACTCAATACTCTATAGCTGTTGGTGACATTAACAACGATACTATACAAGACATTGTCGTCGCGATTTATGACAACAACAATCTAGGCGTATTTCTTGGACATAGTAACGGCACGTTTGCAAGTATCATCCTATTTCCGTTGAATTATGGATCCAATCCATTCTCCATTGTCGTTGGAGACTTCAACAATGACAGAAAACTAGATATTGCCGTCGCCAATAAAGGAACTGACAGTTTAAATATTCTCTTGCAGACTTGTTAGTCGTTTATTTTGTACTTTATAGTTTTCTATTGTTCACTTGATTGTAATGCTTCTATAATTAGATAGAACCGTTCTGTAACTATTCAAATGTTTCTCAGTTCGAAAGATGAATGGAGAAAGAGGATGCATTGAGGAGGTGTATATAAAATTATTATTAAGAAGTTTTAGATTGAGAGCATCACACGACGTTTC